GAAAGGCGGGATATCAAATCCAAACTCTTCTTCTTCTTCTTCTGATGCAAGGGACCATCTTGCTGCTACACAGCCAATAATCCAATAATAATGATATTGTTTAGGGAAGTTTTTAATGTTTGATGTTGTCACTTTTTATTATTAATATTCTGTTGGGAGCTGCCCAGAGCCAGGGGCGGAGGAAGGGGGTGCGGTGGCTGTGGTCCGCCCCACGTGTCACCACTGGGGTGTGTGTGACAAAACGCTGGGTGGCACTCATTGCGGGGCCTGCAGCGTGCCTGAGCCACACGTCTCTGCTGGGAAAGACGTGGTGGCTGGGGCGCCCGCAGGCTTGACGCTGCCCAAACAGTCCGCCCGCTGCCTCCCCATCCAGCTGTAGGGTGGCTGTGTGTGAGGAGACAGGCAGATCCCTATAGATGGTTCGCTCCGCCCTCACCCCACCCCTATGGGTGGCTTGCCCTGCCCCAGGTGCCCTGCCCCAGACGCCTGAGCAGCTTCCTCCGTTGCTGCCCAGAGTAGCTGGGGAAACCCAGCGAGATGGGTGGGGTATAAATAAATAAATTATTATTATTACATGGAAATCTATTTTCTAGATTTTAGGTATAACACCACATTCAGCTATAAGGTTCCCTATGTCCTGGCAGGATATCAGGTTGAGTTATTTCACTGTGTGGAATTTATTACAATTGAGAAATGTAACTGATACGTTGTTTATAGCCAGTAGAGGCTGAGCACCATACAAAAATCTTGGTCCCGCCCCCCCCCCCAAACTAACTACATTTCTTGTGGTATAATCTTTTAACAGAAGGGTAGCATAAAGTGCCGATTGATTCTAACATGCTGTTTTTATAGCTAGGCAAGTGTTAATATTTATTAGATCCATCACCTTTAGTTGCCCAAAGAGGAACATTACTCTTGTTAGATACGGGTATGAGGGAGAAAGAAGCCTGCAGAATACATATTAAGGAATACATGGCTGAGAATTTTCTACAGCTGTTAGTGGGCAGGCACTATAAAGTAACACTATGATGCCAATGATTCTTTGGAAAGCTGTATGCGATTATATATTGTGGCCTATTCATACACTTGGAAAACTTTGTGCCTTCAAATCCTGGATCTGCCTGTCATGCTTCCAGATTCCTCAACAAACATAGCATTAAATGCATATAAACAGTCATATCCATGCCCAATACATATAATATTTTATTCTCTCTCCCTCTCTATGGATCCCACTCTAACACACATAAAGACCTTTAAAATCTATCATTTCTTTATTTGCATGCTGCCTTTCCACACAAAAATATGCTCAAAAAGCAATTTACACGCGTAGGAATAATTTCATAGTAATAGCAGTAATAAAACAGCAGCATATAGTATACTAAATGCAACATTTCCATATAAGTTCAGCAACTTTGTACCTCCTGGCAGCAACAAAAATAACAAGGGAGTTTGAACAGTTTCAACTTGGTCCTAGGCTTCACTGCATTAAATCCTTCTGTATCCTTATATATATTGCAACACAATGGTACCTCGGAAGTTGAATGGAATCCATTCTGGAAGTCTGTTTGACTTCCAAAGCGTTCGGAAACCAAGGTACAGCTTCTGACTGGCTGCAGGAAGCTCCTGCAGCCAATCAGAAGCCACGTCGGACATTCAGATTCCAAAGAACGTTCGCAAACCGGAACACTCACTTTCAGGTTTGCGGCGTTCAGGAGCCAAAACGTTCAACTCGCAAGGCGTTCAGGATCCAAGGTACAACTGTAGCAGTATAGAAGCTTGGCTTTCCCCTTGATTTCACTCTCTCATTCCCTTGCCACCCAGTCTGTCACCAAACCAGTTTTACAACTTTCCAGCCTCCCTGCCAGTCCCCTTGGCAAAAAATAATAAGAATAAGAATTCCTCCATCACCTCTTGCCTTGACTACTGCAATCTTCTCTCTAGCCTTGGTCCACCCACTCTTTCTTACCGCCTTCCAAGCAGCTCTTGCATGTCTGCCTTGGGTAACATTTTGGATCACTGAAACTTTCACACGATGAAAACAGCTCCTAGATTAGCTTTCAACAGCAAATAAATAGGGATCCCTTAAGAAATGCAATATTTGCAAATTCTGATTTGACCAGAACTATGAACCCCACTTTGCATTGGGCTGGGGAGGGGGGGCTGTCAATTCGGCAGAGGTGTTTCTCCGCTGAGACCTGCTATCCCCTGTAACTGAGTGACACTAGAATAATTTTCTGTCAGTACAGAGCTCTGCCCTATTCTACCTGCTGAACATGTGGGCAACTGAAAGTGCTTCTGCCAGATATCTACAGAAGAAGAGGAGGAGGAGTTTGGATTTGATATCCCGCTTTATCACTACCCGAAGGAGTCTCAAAGCGGCTAACATTCTCCTTTCCCTTCCTCCCCCACAACAAACTCTGTGAGGTGAGTGGGGCTGAGAGACTTCAGAGAAGTGTGACAAGCCCAAGGTCACCCAGCAGCTGCATGTGGAGGAGCGGGGACGTGAACCCGGTTCCCCAGATTACGAGTCCACCGCTCTTAACCACTACACCACACTGGCTCTCAGAGAAAAATCGGTGGAAAGCTCCAAGATGAGGACTTTGGGGGTGGTGAAGTGCTAAGTCATTGGATCCTGGTCCAGGCTCACTGCTACTATGTGATGGCATCAGCCCAGATTTGGGCTTGATTGCTGCATCAGTTCCAGGCTGCTACAGCAGTTTGCCTGCATCCCACCTTCCACCCTGATCTATGTGGACTGCAGGGCTGCAGATACAGCAGCAGGCCCACTGCTCCATTAGCCCCTCCGGACAGTGGCCATGGTTAGGATTTGATATTTACTGGCTTTCATACTTTCCAATTTACTTTCACAATTTGTGGTTCCAAAAAGTATAAATAATTTTCTTTAGAATGTGCCTTTTAGGAGAGAATGCATTTTGAAATGCATAGCTGGAGGCAAAATGCTTTAGAATGATGAATTTAACTATCTATTTAAATGTGATCTGGAGGAAGCATTTTCATTTATAGATCCAATCATTGAATATTTTGGGTAACCATTTCTTTTGCCAAAAATAAATTTAGTATGAATATAAACAACAGAAACATGAAACCAAGTATGGTCATTAATGCAATGCTCTTATTTTGCTTTCAAGGATCAATTAATAACATTATTTTGCAAAGTAGTGCAGACGCAGAGTGGAATGGGCTTAAGGATGAACACATGTAGAAATCATGTGAACAGAGTGATTCATCCATCTCTGGAAATAAGATAGAAACTGGTTAGTGGAGACTACGCCTCGGAGCCAGTGTGGTGTAGTGGTTAAGAGCGATAGACTCGTAATCTGGGGAACCGGGTTCGCGTCTCCGCTCCTCCACATGCAGCTGCTGGGTGACCTTGGGCCAGTCACGCTTCTTTGAAGTCTCTCAGCCCCACTCACCTCACAGAGTGTTTGTTGTGGGGGAGGAAGGGAAAGGAGAATGTTAGCCGTTTTGAGACTCCTGAAGGGGAGTGAAAGGCGGGATATCAAATCCAAACTCTTCTTCTTCTTCTCTCTAGTGACACAAATCACTGAGATTCAAGCATGCGCCTATCCATATTTTCCTATTCTGAATTCTGTTTTGGAACATCATCAGTTTGTTTTATAAGGACTGGATGCTCTCTTTACACACACACATCCATCTGAGAGGCACTAGCGAACACTGCCTTTGCTTGCATTAGCATTAATTAACTGCAATGCTAGCTATTAGCTTAATACAAGATAGGCATCTGCTTTATGTTCTTCATACTGCCCCCTTCATCTTGTTCCACCTCATCACATCGATGATAAGTGATTTATGTTACTCCTCATTGCCTCTTTAATGACAATTAGCGGTGCAATGTTGAGCAGCATTGAGCAAAAGACCCAATCCATTAACATTCTCTCAATCCACATCCAACAGTATGTGTTCACTTCTCATAGTATTTCCCCCTTTTCCAGTGTTCAGGCATGAGTGTTGTTACAGTGGTACCTTGGGTTATATACGCTTCAGGTTACATACGCTTCAGGTTACAGACTCCACTAACTCAGAAATAGTGCTTCAGGTTAAGAACTTTGCTTCAGGATGAGAACAGAAATTGTGCTCCGGTGGTGCGGCAGCAGCAGGAGGCCCCATTAGCTAAAGTGGTGCTTCAGGTTAAGAACAGTTTCAGGTTAAGTACGGACCTCCGGAACAAATTAAGTACTTAACCTGAGGTACCACTGTACTTATGTAGTCAAAATGGCATCACTCATGCACAAACCTTATCCTCAGTTTGCCACACAAGTCTTCAGAAATGTTCATCAGCATCTATGTGTGCATTTCTCCTAACATAATTTTTTTTTTGCAGCTCCCTCCAATATACTCATTTTTGCAAGCAATTCCACCTAATATAGGATGTTGCTGAACTACAACTCCCATTTGCCTTGACTATCAGCCACACAGGCTGGGTTGTAGTGTCAGCAACATCTGAAGAGCTGAAAGTCCCAACCCCTGCCTTAATATAATTCATTTTCGTGTATTACTTTCACCAATATGTACATTTTCACACACACTTCCCCTAACAAACACATCTTTGGGCTGGAAAACTGCTTCACAAAGTTCAGAGAAGTGTGGATTTTAAAGGACAGCTGTGTTTTGGTTTGCACATTGCTTTGGGAAGTGCAAAGTGAGCTAGCCTCACCTTAAAATACCAAGCAAACCAAATTCTGCCTTCATCACCAATGCACAAGAGGGAGATATCTTTGTGACTTCAGGTTAAGAAGAAGAAAACACTAAGGGAGGAGAAGAGAACCCTCAAAACTTTGCAAGGAGGACAGAACATACTTAGTGGCCCCATGAAATGCTGCTTGATTCTTTTAGTTTGGGCGGGGGGAGAGACCAGGCTAGATGGACTAGATGAGTACTGTGGAGAATCATAGAACTGCAGAACTGGAAGAAACCACAAGGGCCATTTAGTCAAACCCTCTGCAATGCAGGAATCTTTTTGCCCAACATGGGGCTGAAAGCCATGACCCTGAGATTAAGAGTCTCATGTTCTACCGGCTGAGCCTTATAGCTGACTGATTGGAACAGAAGCACTCAGTGCTACAGCACACATTATGGGCAGGGGCGGAGGAAGGGGGTGGTGGGGGCAGGCTGCCCCGGGTGTCACCTCTGAGGGGTGTGTGTGACAAAATGCTGGGCGGCACTCACTGTGGGGCCTGCAGCGCGCCCGAGCCATGCATCTCCCCTGGGAGTGACACGGTGGCTTGGGTGCCCGCAGGCTCCGTGCTGCCCCAAAAGGTCCGCCCGCTGCCTCCCCCTCAGCTGTAGGGTGGCTGAGAGGGAGGAGGCAAGCAGACTCCTCGGAAGTCCTGTGGAGTGTCCTGCCCCAGCTGGCCTCGCCCCTGCGGGTGGCTGGCCCCGCCCCTGGGCGCAGGGCATGCACGTCGCCCCAGGCGCCTGATCAGCTTGCTCTGTCGCTGGTTATAGGGTCCCCTTGTTCTGTTTCTGTGGCTCAGTTTCTGCCATGTACTTATTTAAAGCGCCTTTACCCCTCTCATCATCCAAAACAGCTCTGAGAGTGCTCACGGTTCTCCAAGCTGTATGAATTACCTCCAGACTCCCCCCCCCCCCGTTTTAGTTTAAAGGATAGTTAGAGAAAATCGCTGACCTACTTCCACCCCATATAATTTACATTCAAGCATCTCAAGTGGATGCCGCTGGCTCGGCTGCTAAATTTTATCATCATTAGGTTGCAAAGATAATTTCTTTTGTGGTTTGGGGATTTGATCATGTCATGGAAGTCGACTCCCTTTGAGCCCAATTTTAGATGCAATTTGGGGAAGATGTAGATCCCCGATTCTCAAACTTTGCACGCTTCTCTCTCTCTCTTTATCCCTTTCACCCTGAGAGGTTTGCTTGCTCAGTGACATTGATCTTAAAAACCCAGTAGCTGAGAGGCTTGCAGAGGCAGCCTGGGCCAATATTCTTTATTATATCTGGAAGAGTGTCAAATAGATTTGGTTTCCTTTTTATTTTTTTGTCCCTTTTAGTATTCTGCCTTGTCTGGACTGCTGATTATATATTTAACATTCAGTTCCAGCTGCCAGCTGCTTATATTGAATATACATAAGCGAGTCAGAACACCACACAACAAAGTCTAGAAGAATCAATATCAGAATCTAAGAACTGGTTTATACTTCCAGAAAAGAAGTAAAAGAAGAAACTTGATAAGTTTAATATTCTTCTCCCTCCCCTACTACTTGAACTCATGGCATTCCCCTGTAGAGAACATCAGTGGCTTCTAGTAGTCCTGAAGGAAACCCATGAATTCTACTTCTTGTGAGACACCAAAAGCCATTCCTCCTTTCACAGTTTCTTTGAAGGTATGAACAGTGTCAGCTGAGTTCAGGGAAAACTAGAACACTGATTGCTAAACTTTGCTGTACTGCAGAACACCGTGTTTCTTTGCTTGTTCTCTGTTAATCACCATATTCTCTTATTATGTGGCTGACAATGAATCAGAATCACAGAATTGTAGAGGTGGAATACAGGGATATGCAGCTATCTCATCACAGTGTTTCAAGAAACATCCAATTGTTGGACAGGAGTAGCAACGCTTTACTTTTCCAGCTGCTCTTGTGTTCAGTAGAACTTAATCTGAGTGAACTGTCTTTCACAGTTCTCCCAGTGCTGATGCAGACATAGCAATGGAACTCTTAACTAGGGATGGCCAACATGATGATGCCCTCCAGATTTTTGGACTAGAAATCTCATTGCACCTAACTATTTAACATGGTGGCTAGGGCTGCTGAGAAATCTAGTCCAAAATACCTAGAGGACCCTCACTACCAATCCCTGGCTTAGATATTTAGAATTGGCTGGGATAACTGCTGAGACAACACTTAAACATGGGTTATGCTGATGAGAGAAGGAACACAAAATTCCATCCTCTCTCTCTTAACACCCCAGCCCCTCTGTGGCAGACATAAAATAAGAAAACACGATGGTCTGCCAAGACATACAGACCAGACTAATAATCAATTATAGGTAAAAAGGTAAAGGTAAAGGACCCCTGGTTGGTTAAGTCCAGTCAAAGGTGACTATGGGATGCGGCACTCATCTCGCTTTCAGGCCAAGGGAGGCAGCGTTTGTCTGCAGACAGCTTTCTGGTCATGTGGCCATCATGACTAAACCACTTCGGGCATAACGGGACACCGTGAAGGAAGCCAGAGAGCATGGAAATGCCATTTACCTTCCCGCCGCAGTGGTACCTATTTATCTACTTGCACTGGTATGCTTTTGAACTGCTAGGTTGGTAGAAGCTGGGACAGAGCAATGGGAAGCTCACTTCGCCATGGCGACTCGAACCGCTAACCTTCTGATCGGCAAGCCCAAGAGGCTCAGTGGTTTAGACCACAGCGCCACCCGCGTCCCATCAATCAGTTATGACCTTATAACAATGCAGTGTTTGAAGGACTAATATGTAGAAACTATTACTGTTTGAGTCTCACTCAAATGAATTATTTGTAGTTTTGGTACATCATTAACTGCATCAACTCTTTAAACAAAATAAACTGTTTTTTTGTAGTGCACTTTACATATGGGAAGAGGGGCAGTGAAGGTACTGCAACAACAAAAAGCTATGCATTGTCCCAAAGAGGCATTAATTTCAAGTACATTTGTTGGACCCAAGACCATGCTTTCACAAAACTAATTTGAAGTTCTAGAGATTTTTGCAATTCCAGATGAACCCAAATTAGTTTAAGCACTTGGCTGTTTTGTATATCAGCCCAGCTCTTGTCCCATGTCACATAAATTACATATAAGCAGGGAGACACTAATTTTTGCATGTGTGAGTAATTATTTTAAATTCTTTACCACTTTTATGCAGCTTGATGAAAACGAACATTTTAAAGGAAAAATGTAAGTAGTAATTATTTAATTTTCCTGTTTTCTGACATTTGGGGTGGCTATATACTTATATTTACAAACAACAACAGAATTCACACTTTCTTCTGCATGTATTTATATTGCAAATGCATTTTGATGTAGATAGTCAAGAACGGTGGGAAAGTAATATATTGAGTCTGAAAAAATTCTAGTTAGCTAAAAGACATTCCACAAGGGGTGAAAAATCTCTGAAGAGGTTTATTCAACCATGCATACTTCAGTTGTTACTTCTACAGCACATTACCCCCAAACAATTTCTCAGCCTCCGTGAGTACATGAGGTTCAGCTACCAGAGCTTACTAAATATTTGATCCTAATTAGACCTAATGATCATGTTTGTTTCTCTCCGTCTGTGATTTTGCAGAGGCAGCCTTTGAGTTAATCCTGAGGACCTGATGTGGGGTGTAAACATTGTTGAATGGGTCAGGAACAGTGACCAGACTGCAGTGAAATTCAACATGTAAGTAAGAAGAAAGTCTGACACGCTCACAATTACTTGAAAGAAGTAGAAGAGAGAACCTCAAAAATGAAGAAATTAGTTAAGCAGGAAAGTTATAAGGGCCAAGCTCCTTTAGGACATTTGGAAGTTACGTAAAATCATTTTAAAAGAAGTTCAGATAAATCGTGTACCGCAGATCAGGAAAGTTACACACCAAGTACAAGAAGATGCCAGAATGGTAAATGAGCGAAGTCAAGGAAGGAATGTTATTGCTGTTAATGTGTTTTGTAAGCCTCTTTGAGTAACTCATTTTTGGAGGGGAAAAGTGGACTGTAATTTTTGTGTGTAAGTGGTATAAAATAATAATAATAGCAAGAATTATTCCTTTAAAAAGCATATTGCTAAAAAAACAACACCCCACTGGCTTCTGAGAAACATCTGGCTGGTTACTATGGGGCTGAAAAAGATAGCAGACTAGATGACTCTTGGTCTGCTCCAGCAAAGCTCATCTTATGTTCTGGTGGAAATCAATTAGTAAGAAAAAGTTAGTTACCAGCTAATCTTTTGATAATGCAAGTACCCACATAATACTTGAATATTTTTGATCACATGACAAATAGAAGTTCTTTGGGGTGGCATGAGAATTTAATCAGAAATACAGCACAAGCAAAGAGGTTAAAATCCACTTCCACCAGCACTTCAGTCCTGATGTAAGTATCACACACTGTAGCAGCAACAACAATATGGAACATCCTATTAACAAATCCTGCATTACATCCATTTTGGCTCTTAGTCTCACATATCTGCACAGAAGGAAAAACAACTGTTTTGCAATGTGCCAGAAAGAAACATTTAGGAAAAGAGGGGGAGAAGTAACACTTGCATGATTTGAAAAGCAAGAGTTAGCTGTGGCCTTGTGAAGATTGATTAATTTCCATCAGAAACAAAAAGATTACTAGATAAGACAAGGAAACCCATCAGGCAAAGAGAGCACGAGCAATTTGCTTCTAGCTTGGCTTAGTCAGCACTATAAAATATTGATGAATACTGCTGCTTGAAACAGCATCTTGTAGTGAGGAAAGTGCTATTACTTTGAACTTTATCCACTGGTGACTCTAGTAATATAAAGTAGGAAAGTTGGTTATATAGAAGTAATGCACTTTTTCCCCAAGGAGAGTATATTTACTTAATATCAAAGGAACGTGAAGGCGTGCCCTTTCAACATCCAATTTTTCCCCCATGATCTTTACTGTGCAACTTGAAATCTACACCAGTCAAATTTAACATTTATAGCATTTGATTTGATGAATTTGTGGGCCTCCTACATTCTATAACTGAAATAAACTTAGTAATGCTATATAAAATTATCACTATTACATCTGATGACCTAAAACTCAGAGCTATAGCAAAGAAATGGAAAACACACGTCTTTGCACGGAAAAGGTCCTATGTTCCCTGAATCTCAAGGTAAAGGATGTTGGGAAACAGAGCTCAGAATCAGCAATGCCTAATACCCTAAAGCAGGTCCCCTCAACCCAGTGCCCTTCAAATGTTTAAAACTAAAACTCCCATTGATGCCCACCAGCATTGGCAATGGTCAGGGATGATGGGATTTATAAGCTGGATCTACACTGATCTGTACAAACGCTGTAAAAATGTAATATAGCACTCAATGAAATTTTCCATTGCTGACAGATTGCTGCTCTACAGTGCCCTCTGGTGTCACATTTTAATAACACATTTTAACATTATAACCAATCAGTGTAGATTCGTCCATAGTCCAAAAGATGTGGAGGGCACTAAACTGGGAAAGGTTGCTATGGAGAGCCTGACAGTTGAAGTAAACAGCTCTCAACTTGATGAACCAGTGATCAAACTTCATAAAGCCAGCTTCAAACTCACAAAATTAAAATCACGTGCTTCTCAGAGAATAGTAGTGCTCTTGTAGTGTCTCAATTAATTGTACAGATCAGCCTTCCTCAACTTGATGCCCTTCAACCTAGTGCACCAGCACAGTGCTGGGGGCCAGGTCTGATGGATTGGTATCCAAAACATCTGGAGGGCACCAGGTTGGGGAAGGCTGGTGTAGATGAACAGAGCACTGTTTTATTCCCCTATACTGCGTGCTTCAGATAGGCTGCATTCCAGGGCCAACCCAAGACATTTTGACACCCGAGGCAAACCACAAAATGGTGCACCCATGTCAGGGATGAGTGAAGATCTACTACAGGAACAAGGGGACAATAATGATCTACATTGGGAACAAGAGTGGGAGGAGAACAGCAGCTCCTTCTATTTGCCAAGAGGCTACTATAGAGGTGGTATGGGTGGGGGGGACTGCTGAGAATGCTCAGATCTGACTTCCAAGGAGTGCACCCTAGTTGTTGCTCCTCTGCAGCAGTGGCGGCGGTGGCAGCAGCAGCAGCAGAAGAAGACAATGAATTCCCTGGAGGGTAGATCTGCTGCTCCTGTAGATCCTGCCACCCGAGGCAGTCACCTTGCCTGCCTCATGGGTGGGCCGGCCCTGCTGCACTCCCTTTCAGTATAAGATCTCCATATAATTATTTCATATTTTGACGTTGGATGTCTCTGCATTCTGTTGTGGGCCTCCCAGTTGCAAGTTGTGCCTATTCTGACAAGCCAGTGTTGCTTCTGCATTCTCAGGTCCACGATCACCAGCTGCCGTGGACCAAGGGTTGCCTATGGTTGAAGTTAAACAATATGGTTGTTCATGGCTACAAACAGAGATTTGCCAGGCCATAAATTGCACAACCTGCTATCATTTACAATGTTATGTCGATAGACAAGAAGTGGCTTAGCTGCCAACAGACTTTCGGAACATCTGTTTGCCCTTAGGTGAATTAAATGCAATGACTGGATGCACATGGGGTCACGTACCAATATAATACAAACCCAGCATAAGGCACTAAAAATACTGCTTGAATATTCTACTTTCGCTCCCTCTTGTCAGTTTCAGTCACCAAGCTGTGAGGCTTATCACTGGGAAGACCTCTCTACAGCACAGCATGCATTTTAGCTAAATGAGAAGAAACTGCCACACTTTGTCAGATCTGAAAGTACTGAGTTGTATAATTGTTAAGTACACATTCTTCTGCTTTAAGGCTAACAGAAACCTATGGCTGTCACAAGAAGAGGGTTACTTTCCTAACAGACTGAATGTTTATTAAATATCAGGAACAGAGCAGGCTTTTTATATATACAACTGCATTAAGTCAATTCCTTAAAAGTTTACACTGCATTGATGCAGCAGGTATAACCGTTTCAGATCTTTAGGTATTTGACAGCAAATCATGCACAGAACTTACATAGTGCTTTTCAACATTCACACATAAACACCTCAGTAATTCTTACAATACATCTGTGAGACGGATTAATAAGTTTACCCCAATACTGGCTCTCTGTTTGTGTAGGGCAGCAATTAAGAATGAAAGTTCATGGATGAGCCATTAGGCAGGATTCAACTAAGTTGTTTTGCAAGTGGAACTAGGGCCACTTGTGCAATGAGATTCCCCTTTCTCCTCTCCTTGTGCCCTATAAGTCTGCTCTGGAGGGCTGGGGGGAAACCCAGGTTTGGGGGGCATGGTGTGTGAGGGGGGAAGGACGGGGAAAACTCCATTGTGCGAGTAGACCTCATTTCACCTGTGCATATCCCACTTAATGCTCCATTTAATTATTTAAAAATAATAATAGCAGCAGGAACTGAAGTTGGATCAGGGCTTGGTGAGAGCTTTAACTCTTAGTCTACACCCTTACCTACCCTCTAGACACCTACACCAGTCACACCCCCTGACCGACATGCTGTCACAGTCGGTCTAAGTAGGGCCTATGTGTGTGCAGATGTAAGCAGGGCTCACTCCATGAGGAAAGAAACCCACGCTGATCAGCATTCATGGCCCTGTGTAAGGGGCATTGCCCTCATACATCCACACAGTCAGACACAAATTTCCCCTTTGGCTGGTGGGGGGCATAGCCAATGTGCACACAGGTGTCTGTGGGGCGGGGCTTGGTTGCTTTTACATGCAAGGTCCCCTCTTGCATTCACCCTGAATGCCTGAAGGCAGCTACGATAAGGTGTGGGAAGCTGAAGATCCTTTAGATGACAAGCGGGTTTCATATTTTGAATTTTGTGGCTCCCACTGTTAAGTGGTACAAACAACTCAGCTAAGTCCTATCCGTATCTTAGACAGAAACTAGCCAGTGCTGGCCAGACAGCAGCACTAACATTGCACTATGTAGGTGCTGCTAAAAGTAGTGCCAGTGTTGCCGAAAGCACACACAGTATTGAACAGGGTGATTTAGATGCAGTATGGATCATTTTCAACAAGCTTTGCCCATGCTGATGCACACATATCATAATGCAACGCCATCAATAATGGCTCAGAGATTTACTAGCCTTCCCTGACATTCCATTGTTTCTTGTGAGATGTCTATGGTGTGTGTGTGTGTTAAGGGTTTGCTGTACAAATCTTTCACATGTATGAGAATTAAAAATAAAAATTTTAAAAATCCTGTAAAACTATCTACAAACCACAGCACACTTTGGAGACAGATATTCTGACAAGATTAATAATAATAAAAAGCCTGCTTAAGAACTACTGTTGGGTGAGACCTTGTATTTATATGTGTGGAAACAGGATACTTTCAGAGAGTATCTAGGTGGTGTTTTTTTTTTTTTAATGAACCCAGTTCTGTCATTCTTAATGTCAGCTAAATCAATGGACTCTTTGTGGAATCAGGTGGTAGGCAGTATAAGGAGGTTCAAAGCACAGGGTTCTGTTTTAACAGGTGTGCTTTTACCTATTTTATGATCCCCAGAAAGCGGGGTTTTCCCAATTTGGCATTAACCTCAGAGGGTTCAAAATTATTTATGGGGTTATTCACTCTTTAAGGCGAAATGGCAGCTGTTTCATGAATAAGGGAATATTTAAAGGAAAACAGGGCCATTCAGATAGCTGCATTAATGCACCAATAACTACAGTGATGTTTCATGGAGGATAACATGCCCAGTGTGGCCCAGTGGTCGACGATATTGACATAAGGCAATGTGTACAACTCACATTTGTAGGTAATTTAAGGCCCTTTTTTATAATATTGAAGCAGTGCAGGAATCATATCTCCATAGCTCTTTCCCCCACCTTGTTTAACATTTGGAAGCTCAGAATCACATAGAGTGTGGGTGTGTTCCAGTTGTGTAAGACTCTTGTGTAAGAGAGGGCAGTGACTGGATGGGAAGGACTGTGTGACTGGCCACACACTAGTGGTTCTGGCTTCCAAACCAGCATGGAAATGGCATAGAACGAAGTTTCTGGGAAGAGACTCTTATGGCATAAGACTTCTGCTGGTGTGAGAGATCTCTAGCTCTGTTTAAAGGAGAAACAAATATCATTTTGACTGCATTTAGCAATATGATTTGTTTGCCAAGCAGGTTTGTTCATTAAACAAATGAGCACTCCTGTTTCCACAATTCAGCACTTAAAAAAAAGAAATTATATAAAATATTTCCAAATATATATTATATTAATGCATTGCAATATAAACACTTTTGAATAATCTGCTATGTGTTCACCATCATTTTGCAAGAACAATTGTATGCACCAAATTTAAAGTTAAGTCCATTGGCCAGTCTATGGGAAATTGAAATACGGTAGCTCTACCAGAACAAATGTTTTTTTTAATGCTCTGCTACTTCGTTTAGACAAATATGAACGATAATGTAATGATTTAATGAGAGGCCAACATTTGAATACCTACAAACCTTGGAGAGAGAATTAGCACTGTGCTTTCAGGGAGTGATTTTTAGAAGTGCTGGATATAACCTTCGCACAGTGAGGCATGAACAAGCTTAGCACTTGCTGTGAAACAGCACAACAGCATCCACAGAGAACTACGGTATGTTAACCTTTAAAATGAATTTACAGTGCAGTCCTTTACATGCCTACTCAATAGTAAACCCCAGTGAATGCAACAGGCTTACTCCCAGAGTAAGGTAAAGATAAAGGACCCCGGATGGTTATGTCTAGTCAAAGGCGACTATGGGGTGTGACGCTCATCTTGCTTTTCAGGCCGAGGGAGTCGGCGTTTGTCCACAGACAGCTTTCCGGGTCATGTGGCCAGCATGATTAAACCGCTTCTGGTGCATTGGAACACGGGGACGGAAAACAGAGCGTAAGGAAACACCATTTACCTTCCTGCCACAGCAGTACCTATTTATCTACTTGCACTGGTATGTTTTCAAACTGCTAGGTTGGCAGGAGCTGGGACAGAGCAACAGGAGCCCACTCCATCATGGGGATTCGAATCGCCGACCTTCCGATCGGCAAGCCCAAGAGGCTCAGTGGTTTAGATCACAGCGCCAGCCACATCTCTCTACTTTTTTTTTTTTACCTTTACTCCCAGAGTAGTAAGTATAGGCCTGAGCCTTAAAGATGTCTTCAGGTGTTCACATGAATGTTCAAAGGGTGCACAGGAGAATGCATGCAAAGCTGTTGCCCACATCAATGTGGGCTCTCAGTTCCTGCCTGAATGCAAGTAGAACCATCCATGTGATCAGGGACCCTGGTAAAGTAAGATCCCTGATAATGTAAGGTGTTCTACCCACTATGAAGCTCTTTGCAGACCTTCCCCACTCAATGTAGGAAAAGTCCAGGACTGAGGGTGTGGGACAAGAAGCAAGGGGATGTTGGGGGCAGGACCTATGCCCCATCCACAGATATAGCATTCATATGCTGAGGCAAAAGCCTGAACACACCCTTAGTTAAAAACACATGGCTTCCTGAAAACAACATTAAGAGAAAAAACAGAGCTCCAACAGAAGGCTTCATCTGAACATCTGTGGACTGGAAACCGTTTTCTTAAGAAGATTCCCTCCCCCCTTTACTTTTGCAACTCAATCTTTTTTGCTCCTCGTTTACTACAAATATACAGCCTAGCTCTCACGACTATGTAATTTTCACTGCTGTTTAAAAGACTTTGCATAGGAGGTGAATGAGTAGGAATAAACTGTGGGAGCACTCTGGTTTCAAAACGAACTGTAGCTCTGCTACTGAGTCAGCGTAGTGTGAATCATACACTTGAGTATCTACTAATGAGGGTATGCAAATCAAAATATTTCAGACCTGCTATGCTAGAATCAATGTAGACAAGAGGTGGTTCTGCTCTGTGCAGAGGGGAACTGGGATTATGCTCATGTCTTCTTCTGAACCTGGGTAGGTGGCAAGACTGAGCCTCAAAAAGTGGGGCCAAAAGTAGGATATGCACAGCAACTGACTACCCAGAAGCAAGAAGTCAGAAGCCCAGACAAATAGGGTGTGGTCTAGACATTATTTCCATCACTGAAAACCCAGAAAGTGATTCAGCTGAACACCACCCCTCTGCATTCTTTCTGTGTTATTTCTAGATATGCCGCAGAAAGTAAGTGACAGAGAATTAAGAAATGAGAAGGGTGTGCGTGTTGACAAATGTACAAGAAAGTGCCTAACTAATGAGCTGAAAAGCAATTCCTCAATAACCCTAGATGAAGCGAAAAACAATACTCTCTTACAATACGCCTGTCAC